GTACTTCGTTACTGGCTTTTGTTTGCGGACTGGTATTTACTAATTTAGCAATAACAATGGTGTCTGTCAATGTCTTCGCTTTTCTGCAATATTAAAGTTGTGTTAAAATATCGGACAGTTTTCAAGATATAGTAGGAATGATATATTAACAAAGAAAGTGAATTCTAATATATTAATCGGGGTGGCGAGACAAAAGTTTAATTAATTAGATGACACTAATTATCAATGGTAGGATTAGATTTCACATTTCAAAACTTAATTTTCGCTTTCACTTAAATTAATTATTACCCTTGCAATATCATTTTAGCTAGTCTAAGACTGGAATATTCCTAAGTTACAGTACTGTACACAGTTTTCTCCTCACGGCTAATTTACAAACTGCTACTAAAATTCATTCATTAATTATTCAGTGAAATTTTCAATGATCGAAGAAGATCCTACTAACTTTAACTCTGAGTGCAATTAGGAAACCTTGCCTGAAATTGTAGCAGGAGTGTTGAAGTCTTCAATGAATGGCCACAATGTTTAGCGTTTAGTTGATAATTCTATGATTGGGCTACATTATTTCAAGAGGATATTCAAACCAATTTCCAAATTGACAAGAGGCCCATGGGCTACATCGCTCACCTGAGCTCATTGGTTAGGAATAAGCAGAAATCAGTTCAGTATTGAACGGGGGAGGGGGGAGGACTTTAATTTACACTACCTCAGGATGCTTCCATATCAATATTACTAATCATGGCTTTGCCGTTCCTAAACAGAAGAATTTTTAAAGATTTTTCCCCTATGTTTTCCACCATCACGGTAGCTCATTCTGTAGAGCTCTTGCTCCGTGATCAGAAGAACGTGAGTTCGAGCCCCGGCCGCGACTGACCTAAGTTGATTAAAAATAAGAAGCAACTGTTCCTTCACCAATCGCTCGACACTTTGAAGAGAAAGTTGCGGGTCCTTCGGATGAAACCTTATTAACCGAGGCCCCATGTCACCGCAGGCGTAGGCACGATAAAGATCCCTCACTGCTCAATGGCCCTGAGTGCCGAGTAAAGGTTTAAATTTGAAGCCCTTCACCGGTATATGGTTAAGTCTCCATATGAGTGAAAAATTCTCGAATGGGAGGAAAAACAACATACAATTAATCAATCTTATGTTTTCCTATGTAAAACTCTGATCTACACTACCTGAGGATGCTTCTATGATAATATGACTAATAATGGCTTTGCTGTTTTTGAGCAGAAGATATTTAAAGATGATTCCTATATTTTTTTCTTATGCAAAACTTAATTGACCCCTGTTGTGTCCCCATGATTTGAACACACTTCATTCTACAATACCTAAGGTTGCTTTCGTATAAATATGACTAATAATGGCATAGTTGTTCTTGAGAAGATTTTAAAGATTTCCTATGTAAAAGCATTTCACGGTAGAAAAGGATTTACCAAGAGAAAGTTTCAAAAATGTAATTAACTAAGCAGTAATTAATTAACAAAGATTGCATTGAAGTCTATGGGGACAAGCGATTTTTTTTTGAAGAATAAAAATTCAAATAATAAGAATATCAATAAATACTGTGGTGGAAAGATGCATTAAAACATTGGAAATAGAATGACAATTGAAAACGATTTTTTTTTACCGGATTTGTTTTTTTTTTAAATTGATTTTTTTTTATTATTAATTTAAATTAGAGGGAGATAACCCTTACCAAAATTCAAGGTCATAAATTAGGATACATCCCAACCTTACATGCTAATAGTAAAAAAAAAATGAAAATTATGTCTAAATATACTGAGTATTAAACACCTACACATCTGTTATGAATTCAATTTCATTGAATCTGTTGCTATTAGGGATGGAAAAACCTTCACTTCTTTATTGCTGATTCAGCATCCAACTTCTTCAGCTAGCTTCTGAATGCCTGAATTTCCCAAAGCTTTGCCATATAAACCTTAAGTTTTGCTAGTCCATTCCAAGGGTTGTCGGGTCATTCCATTATTTGAGGTCTTCAGTGCGTTTTACTCAAATGCCCCTTAACCATTAAGCCTATATAAAACTATGTAAAACTTTAACCCCCTGTTGTGGCCCTGCCCTACCCCCAGGGGTCATGATTGGAACAAATTTGAATCTACACTACCTGAGGATACTTCTATTTTAATATGACTAATCATGGCTTTGCTGTTCTAGAGAAGATTTTTAAAGACATTTCCTATATATCCCTATGTAAAACTTCAACCCTCTCTTGCGGCCCTGTCCTACCCTTGGGGGTCATGATATGAACAAACCTGAATCTACAGTATGTAATGAAGTTTTTACATAAGTTTCATCTTTTCTTGCCCAGTGGTTCTTGAGAAGAAGATTTTTAAAAGATGCCACCAAATTTTCGCGAATTTTTAATTATCTCCTCTTTAAAGATGGCGCGGCACTTCCTGTGAACAAACTTAAATCCCCTTCACCCAAGGATGCTTTGTGGCAAGTTTGGTTGAAATTTGCCCAGTGGTTCTTGAGAAGAAGTCGAAAATGTGAAAAGTTTACAGACGACAGACGGACGCCGGACACTCTTTGATCAGAAAAGCTCACTTGAGCCTTCGGCTCAGGTGAGCTAAAAAATTCAAATAATTTTTTATAACCATTTTAGGAATTTAATCATAAAATAAAGTGTAAATCGTAAGAATACACCATGTGATTTGTTGCAAAAATATGACAGGTGATACAACCAGAAAACCTACGTATCAATCTTACTAATGTTTTAAAAGTTACTTGTTAAAAAAACATGTTTTTCCCTCTCTTTACGCACTTCAGAATTGATAAGAATAATCCTGGCATTGAGAGAGTTTGCAACAAGTCCAGAATTCTCAAAGCCGGATCTGCAGTTGACCGAATCATCCTCCTTCTGAGAAGGAAATTAAAGCTGTCCAAAGCCCACTGTGACAAAACCAATAGTTAAGACTAAATTTCCGAAGCTGACTTGAAAATGCAGGAAATGCAAAATCACTAAGCAAACAGGGATAAAAATGGGTTTATTTTATAACGCTACGTCTAAAAATTGCATATTTGAGAGAAAAATTTAATCTACACGTGTTACAGAAGATGGGTGTATTTGGTGTGTAATCTGCAGGAATGTACGCACACCCAAAACTTCATGACTGCATGGTCACATATAATGTTGAGACTCGAAATGAGGCAGATTGTCTGGTTAGAGGAACATGTCTCTGTTTCAAGCCCCCTGTAGGCACTTGATTTTGTGCGTTGTGTTCTTAGACAAGGCACTTTAACTGCATCCTCCCAGCCCACCCAGTTGCAATGGGTACGGTATTAATTCGCTAGGGGTTGACTTGCCATGGACTGTTGTTCATCCAGGGGGAGTCAATGACTTTCCTCATGGCTCGGACACGGAATTAATTAGCTTAGAAGTAAATGCTTACTTTTGGTAAATGTTATCTAATAAAATTTTTTCCTTTCTTTTTGAAAAGACTGGCAGCTTAATAAATTTTAATAAAATATCATTTATAGTCACGTGAACTCATTTTTTGTGTTTCTATGCAATTCCATTGCGCAATGCTTTTGGAATACGTTTATTGGGATGTTTGAATTTCAGAGCTTATTAACGAGTGCACTTTTTCAATGTAATTACTTCTAATAAAAGAATTATGGATTCATGGCAAAAATTCAAAAATTTTAATTGCATAATGAAATGAACGTTTTTTAAATAAAGATAAACCATGGAAAAATACTCGAGGGAATTTACGCTACTGGAAGAAATTATTCAGTGATTGTTTTGGGGCAGGTAATTAGTCAGTATCATTAACTCTGCATGATTTTAAAAATTCTAGATCAATAAGTGTAATTAAAGCAGATGGTTAATATTAATAGGTTGTGTAATATACATTACCGTATCCGTGTATACACATGTACGACAGGCCGTAGGATGAATAAGTCATACCGACTTCGATCTTCACTTCAATTTGATCTTCGACTAACATGACTAAGTAATCAAAAACTCTATAGGAGTTTCCTATTCACAATTTTCCTTCTATGTACAAAATACAAAGTCAGTAGAATAAAAATTACCAGAATTACTGCATCAAGTTAAATCAATTAGATATAGTCATATTACTTAACCTTTTGTTATTCGTTGACCATATGACCTCCAAAACTACCAAAATAGTAAATGTGAAGTCTGTATATATGTCGCAACATGTTGCATTTAGTTATCCATATGGAGCCCCAGATTATTCTGTTATTATTGAAAGGTATCAATTCATTTGCAATAATTCAATTAACAATCACTTCAAATAATAAAGATACCTTCAATTCTGAATTATTGCCAGTATTCAAAATTGTTGATAACATTAATCAATTAGCTGAATTGGTACTTGAAATAATTGTATTGATACTCTCCTCAAATGAATTGGCGATTTAAACATCTGAAAAAATGCGCGCAATAATTTACTGTAAATCACTTTTTACTCGCGATAACTTTACCTTTGCGTAATAACGCGTGACCGTCTGCTCCCCCCCCCCCCCCAAAAAAAAAAAATCACCGATCTATTAAAAAATATATAGAGCAATAACCAAAATTCGCAAATTTTTTGCTTCTCTTATAAATACCAAACAACTATCTTGCAAAAACAAGAATTCACTATGAAAAAATTTTTAGTGGTCTCTACGGTATTTGAAAAGAGCAATAATTTAATGCGCGCAATAATTGTATTATCTCAGAAAAGTGTAACTCAAACAAATGGTAACTTTAAATTCATTTTAATAAGTGTGGCGATATTATGGGCACGGCTGTTATGAATAACTTGAAATGAAATACAATATGGGCAATGGGCCGCCAACAACGAGCATGCCCAAAAACAAATGCATATACAACAACATTCAACATTTAAGCAACAAATACAATCATATAGGTAGGTCATGACCAAAGGTCAAAGTTCATAATGGTAGGTCAAAGTTCATAGTTCACATTTTAGTGTAACCAACTAAGTTCAAAGTTCACAACAACATCAAAGTTCAAATTTCACCGTATATATAGAAAGCATTGACCCTGGGAGGTGCAGAGGTCAAAGCTCACTTTATAATATTTACTACCAGAATGCCGCTTTTACGCCACAAGTTTCCTGAGACGAGGTTCAGAATGAGACTCATCCAGGGAACTCCGCCACCATGGTGGGGGTAAAGCGGCATATAGGAACAGCCGTACCCAGGATCCTTGCTAATTGGGAAAGCAGGATTGGCCATGCACAACGATAGCCTCAAGTCCCCCCTGGAGGGAGTTTAGAAAAATGTTATTCCCCAACGAGGACATGTGTACCCCATCCTGTAAAAACAAAGCTGGAACAGGTTTAATATCTGTATGGCGGATTATTGCACCCCCAGATTGCAAGACAATTGAAGCTATGCAAGAATTTAGCCGTTTGCGTGCATTTTCCATGGCTTTTAAGTTTGCTGAATAGCGCCATTGAAGACGCGGAAGGATAAATGACCATATAATCCTGATGTTTTGAAAGCGATTTCTTATAAACAAAACCAACTGCTTTGCAACAACTCTTATTTTCCTGATCGATAACTTACCATAATCATTCCCCCCACAATGTATAAGAATAAAATTCGGTACAGGACCCACCTTTTCAATTGTTCTAATCTTTTGCCTTGTTTTACTTAACTGGAGGCCACTATAACCCTGCCACCACAGGGAGATATGTTTTCTTTCTAGTGTCAAATTTGTACCACCTGGTCTTAATACAGCTTCCAAAAAGGCATGCTTAATTATTGATGAACCCACCAACCATATTGTCTGTGTATCTAAAATTGAATTAAAACTTTGGTATGCGAATGTAAGATTTGTAAGAAGAAGATTTCCAACGGCCAGATCTCTGAATGTCATCAGTTGAGAAACCCTTTAAAGCGAGATCAGTACTCGCACCGATACGAAAAGAGAGAGATTTGTATCCTGAGCTACCAGGTAAATTAAGGTGCTTAACTGCTTTACAAAGTACCCCTGTAAACTGATATCGGGTGAGTGGGGATAAATTCAAATGTCGAAAAAGTGGACCTGAACCCTCTGGACGGATGCTGACGCAGTTGGTAACGAGCTGATATGGACATGCTACACCACCCTGCTTGTCTATTTGTAATACTGTACCTTTACCAAACTGATCTGTTTTTGAAAACTGGATAGTCAATAAGAGAGATTGTGTTTGATGATTTATGGACAAATTGTCTATTTGAATTGCGTTTTGTTGACGACCTTTGCTTGTATTAACTGTTAGTTCGCCCACTCTTAAAAATCCGTGAAAGGCCAGGGAGAATGCAGCAGAGAAAAGAGCTGTTTCAAAAGCATTAGTACATATTATGGGTAGAACCTGAATAATACTAAGCAAAATTGTTTTTGTTATTAGCAATCTAGTATCTGCTTTATGTTTCAAACGTCTCATGCCCTGTAATAACTTTGTTACCAAGAACTCCGGGGTTGGATCAGGTACATTTTGCAATTTACAATAAAATGAAATGGAGACAAATATGACCTCACCGTAGAATATGCAAGACCGGATGATGATGAATGCAAAACGAATTGCACGACCGAGTTTAATGAAGGAGGCCATGGCGTACAATCAAGCAGTCTACATACTTTGTAATAAGCTGCCATTCCAGCACGATGAGATTTATGTGTGTTTTCAGATACTGAAGCATCTAAAAGTTTAGCAAACTAAGACTGGAGATGATGTTGCGGAATGAAAGGGGTACTGGGCAAGGATGTGTCCTGGCATGTGGAGCTGCTTGTCGGAATCTGGCCCACTGATTACGAGAAATTGAGTCAGCTACTACATTGTCTTTACTTGGTATGTAAACTGCACGAAACAGAATATTATATTTCATAGAAGCAAGTACAAATAATCTAAGTAGAGTCATTACCCATTCTGATTTAGAGGTGAGCTTATTAATTATAGCGACTACAGCTTGATTATCTATATGGAGAATCATCTTTTTATTAGCTAGTTTGAATGGCCAAGACCACCGGAACTAATTCTAAAAACGTCATGTCTTTAAGCACTTCGGTGGAGGCCCAAGTTTCTGGCCAAGGGTAAAAACACCATTCCCCATTGAAATAAGCACCACAGCCTAAGTTAGACGAACCGGAACTATCTGTGTAGAAATTAATGTTCTTATCTGATGTCCACTCATTATCCAAAAAATACACAGTCCCATTAAATGACTCAAGAAAACTAATCCACATGTACAAGTCCTGGCGCATTGATTGAGTTATCCTAAGGCGATAATGTAATTCTGAAACCCCTAATAGAGAAATACCAACATCTTACGAACGAACGTAACCAAAAAAGGGGATCGTTCATTGTATTCACATTTGCATAATTAAATTCTTCAATGTTGTTGCGATTTCAAAAGATAAAATCCCCGCAGGATACCTCAAAACTACTTCTTGTCGTAGTCGCTACCGTGACGCTACAATACATTTCAATGGACATTTAAACGAGCAAAGGGGTTCTGAAAAGGGATAAACACATGTAAAAGGAAAATGAAAAATGTCTCATTTTGAAGCATAAAGTCAAAGTTTCTGTCTTACGAAAAAGAGGACGAGGGAGAGTTAAAAAATGAACATAAAACAATGGCCTTTTTGTTCATGCTACTGGCTAAACTTTGTAAATGTAAATACAAATAACAAATAATTATCACCTCTGACAATATCTGTGTAGAGAATTAATCAATAGCCATTCCTGACGTGATATATATGAGAATGTTTTAGCAACTGAAACTAATGCACATTTCATTCAAAATATTCAGTTTTTTACAAATTAAAATGCAATGGAAATCAGCTGAACAGAAATTGGCTTTAATAACCCCTGTCCACATGAATGCTGCTTCGGTGAGTAATTTCCAGACAAATTAGTTTAGACCATCTTTAAAAAATTGTTTCTTTGCCCTCACCGACTGGGTAAAAATGACCCACTCAAAACTTGTTTAACCTGAGGAAACGATAATTTTTTCTCCCGAATTTTCTTTCTCCATCAATAAGAATGTTGAAATTTTCTGGAAAAAATTTATTACCTATCTACCGACCCAATTTTTATATGATAATGTATAAATATTTTGTTCCAAAAAAAGTTGGAACCCCCCCCCCCCTGAAAAAAAGATTTTCGACTTTAAACCCCCACCCCCCCACCCCTTTTTTGTTTTGTTTTGTTTCTTATTTTTTTGTTTATTTGCTTGTCAGATTTTTTCTTGTAAGTTGATTATTTTCTCTGGCTCCCCCAACCCCTCCCACTTTTAAAAAAAAAGAAAATTATATGTTTCTAATTCGACTAATGAATAATAAATAAATCTGCAGCAATATTAATTTTACCAGAAAGAATTCATGACTGTTTTAAAAAAAAATGGGAAAAAAAATATCAGTAGAAACTACTTCTACACATCAGTGAAAACTCAACTGTTCTTTTTATTTGCCTGTGTGTGCAGGTACATTTGAAGCATGCCTTGACAACTTAGTGAATCAGCGTCATGCACTTGTTGTCTTCAAATTATTCACATTTTGAGAACTACAGTATCATTTTTTCAGTACACTTGAATCAATCTATGATTTTTTTTCTCAGAGATGACGACTATAGTTTTTTTTTTCTCTGTACATTAAAGCTTCGGTCGAAATTACTCTGAGTGCGGGATCAAAGTTACCCTTCACGTATACATACAGTGTATCTTGTAATTTTGTATTCTGACGAATAATGCATGCTTAAAAAAACAATGGCATAATGGTACATAGCTTGAGTACAAAGAAAATTTAATAAATATACACCACCCACAGACATGTAGCATCAGAGGGGCCTGCTCCCACTTTTTCCACACATTACTTTTTACTGTTGAAAATGTTCATTGAAAGGCTTTTTGCTCCCCCCCCCCCCCCCCCCTTGTTGCAGTACAGTCAAATAAGGCTAATGTAGTAATGTATAAAAAAAAATGGAACCGAAAGAAGAATTTTTTTTTTTTTGCTTGTCAGGTTTTTCCAGGTAAGTTGAATTTTTTTCTCTGGCTGTCCCCCCCCCCTTTAAAAAACGAAGCTGGTCTTTGACTCTACCCAAATGCATAATTTGCAGCTTTTATAATCCACATATCTATACAGATATAACATATATCATGAAAGACAGTCGAAAGATACATTAAGTGAAGATTGCAACATAATAGATCATCCAAGAAGACACTGTGTATCATATGAATGCTCGTTTATTTCTTTGAAGTGATATTTCACATAAAGAAAAACCTACCCTTCTTTCTTATGTTTCTTATTATGGAAAAAAAAATTATTGCATATGCATGCATTGCCCCATTCCACTTTTATAAGGATTGTAGTATATGGATCGTAGTATTCCATGTATTTACTTAAATGTAATGAAAATGGACATTTGATTCGATTAGTTGAGCTTCGACCCCCTCTCCCTCCCCAAGTACACAAACATCTATGCGCGACCACCTTAAAAATATTACTTTTTCCGGAGAAGTGCCAACTATTTTCTGATTTGTAATGGTTGCATGATTTCTGAAACGTTAGAAAACAATGCTGCATTGTATAATTCATTACAACAATTATTGTCCATTGTGCTCTCTCTCTCTCTCTCTTACAAACACATAAATGTACACTTTTAAATACAAGATTATGGAACGCCATCACTGCCTTATAGGATAATACTATACATTCATTATGTCAACTTATCATTACATGATGTGATCGTACCTTTACGTGATGTCAAGTTTTTATGAAGTGGGGAAAAAAATATTTACATTATGTCAATACTATATTACACGAAGTAAATATATTCTTCCATTATGTCAACACTTTATAACTTGATGGCAGAAGTTCATTATGTGAAGTGAAAATACTTTTACATTGTGTCCAAACTTTATTACCTGAAATGAATGTATCTTTACATCATTTCATTTCTTTATTACGATACAAGTGAGTGTATCGTTACATTATATATCATATCATTATTACGATGTGAATGTATCTTTATATTATGCCAAATGCATGATGATTCGAGGTGAATATATCTTAACGTTATGTCAATACTTTTTTACGTTGTGTGAAAAAGTTAATTACATAATATGAACATATCTTTCTATTATATCAACACTTTATTACATGATGTGAAAACACCATTCCATGATGTGGATATATAGTTAGGTTATATATGTTAACTCTTTCTGATGTGATGTAAAAATATCTAAATATTGTGTTAACCCTTTATTACGTTGGTGCCAAAAGTGCATTATACGTGATGTAAAATTACGTTTACATTATTTCAAATCTGTATCTCTCGGAATTTTTATATGTAATGCAATTTTTTCCAGGAGGGGTCCACCCCAGTCAAAAAAAATCCAATCTAGAACATTCTTGACAAGCAAAAAAAAAAAACCAAACAACAAAAAAAAAAAAACAGAAAAACGTAAACTCCTTCCCCAAACGTGAAAAACCTATTGCGTTTTTTTTTTTGGGGGGGGGGGGGGTAATCGTTGACTTCTAAAGCTTTATACCTTCATACCTGACTTTTCAAACACCTTTACACAGATCCGCGTTTTCGGGGGGGGGGGGTCCAAGGTCACTTTTAGTTGGTTTAGTATATACATTTATTAACTCTGTAAATTCCAGGGGGGGGGGGGGCGGACCCCCCAACTCCTCCTCTAGATTCGTGCATGTAATGTGAAAACATCTTTATTATGTCAATACTCATTACGTGATAACGAATTTTTGGTACGTTTCAGTGAAGTTATCTTTCCATTTGTGTTGTTGAAAGATTACGTAATTTCGTCAATTGAATGTAGAGTGGACGTGGACGACTGCGTTCTCGCTACTGGGACAGGCCCGTAGAACGCCTGTGTGGGGAGGGGGGCAGGGAGGGCTCTGTCCCCAACTTTTTTCTGAGTATAGCACTTTGCTGTTGTAAATTGACCTTTAGATGCTGTTTGGCTCCCTCCTGCCCCACTTTTTGTTGCCTGTCAGAATATTTTGGAAAGTTGCCCCCCCCCCCCTTTTGTCAGTTTAGATTTTTATTTTTATTTTTTTTTATGCTTGTCAGATTTTTTTGTGAAGTTGCCCCATCCCCACTTTGAAACCGTTACTACGTACGGGCCTGTGGGAGAGGGATTGGGGCGAACCAGTCCTTTTTCCAAACATTACAGGGCTAGAATATCTATCTCTAAAATCTGCCAACCCCCCATCTAAACCAAATCTCCGTGCTTTAGAAAGCACGCACATTGAAAAAAGGGAAGATTAACATTTGATAAAAAGCTAAGGACAATGTCTTGAAGAAAGATTAGAAAGAAAAGACTTTTATGAAAGAACAATTCAAAATTAAAAATAAAACTTGTTACTGCATTAAACAAAATTTTATGTAACATTTGATGGGCGAAAATTGTCAGATTTAACGTGATCGAATTTTGGCGTTAAAGAAAAATAATTTTACATCAGTTAATTAAGATTCCTTGGGAACATAATGCTACATAAGTTGAAACTTGATATTTAATTGAGGAATAATTGGGTCTAGTATATAATTTTATATTAGATGCCTTTTTATTTTGCATGCGTGACATAAAGTGAACTTTCGGCATAACCTAATGAAGGAGTATAATCTGTGTAAAGATCGGTATAAACAAACTTTATATAGTAAACTTTCTGAATCGTATAAAGATATATTTACTTCACACAAAGAGTTGAAATAGTATAAGATATGCTGACAACATGCTATGCACCTTTGGCACAATGTAAAGATACAATAGCATAACGTAATAATGATTTGCCGAGACGTAACGGCAAAATCACATCACGTAATGGATTTCCGCCATCATGTAGCATATTGTTAACATAATGTAGTAAAGAATTGACCATATGTGTCCATTTTTTCACATTATGTTATGAAATTCTGACATCATATAATAAAGACTTGATATTGATATAAGGATAAATTCACATAACGTAATGAACTACCTGCA